CAGAGGACTGAAAAGCTGGATTTTGTAGAAGAATTTAGAGTGTCTTCCAAAAATTTGGAGTATGGGTTTTCTGCAGAGGATGTGAGAGTGAGCAGTCTGGGCAGAATAAAAACAACATTTGAAAGCAGAGCCTTTTCCTGCAGCAAAATGCATTCAGTTGAATACTGATTAGGAGTCTGTGTGGCATGATGGACAGGGAGATTCTGGAACAGGACAGGGCCAGGATAGAGAAATTCCCTGCTGAAGGGCAGACTCCTGTCTGCTGGGCAGTGTTTACTCCAAACGGGTGTAGGGCTTCAGCTCAGTCTACACCACAGCCCACACTCTGCCTCTTAGGATTGAGCATTACAGCATAGCCCACTGAGAGTCTGCAGAGCTAGAATCCCACTGGAATCATCTTTATGCTTGAGAAGGAGTTCTTCTTTGCATCTTCTGCGTGGAAGGAGTTTAAGCTCAATGCATGTTTGGAGAAATAAGTGTTGTCCCAAACTCTGCTGTGTGTTAGGGCTGGGGTTAATGTTAGAGCTAGGGAAATGAGCACCCTCAGGACTACAATTCCCTGCTCCTTTCTGACCTGACTTACTGGCTAGTCTTTCTGGATGGATCCTGGACCTGAATTGTCAGTAACCTCATCTCCAGTCTTGTTTCTGGCCCTGTCTTTTAGATGGATCTCAGATTCATATTATAGGTGGTCCTTTTTCCTGGATGGACCCTAGACTTGACTGGGATATGATAGTCCTATCCCACTTCAGGTTCTCTATTTCACACCTCTGTGCCAGCTCTGTTCCCTGATCCAGCTCCAGCTTGCTCGTGCCGTGTCCCTGCCCTGCCTGTGTGACCTTGTCATGACCCTCTGTGACTTAGGTCCATGTTTTCATCCCAGCTCATGACAGGGCCTTGCCCTAGCTCTCTGTCACCCCAAAGTAGCCCTAAGAGGACTCTTCTCCATCCTGTGTGGGTCACTCTTCCTGCACATCCTATAAACTGCCCTTGGCACAGGTAGTGTAATCCCAGCCTCTACCCTGCTGTATCTGGGGCTGCTGCTGGATCCAGCCACTACTATGGGCCTGTTCCCTTCCAGAAACTGAACAGCAGTGAGGTTCCACCATGAGTCTGATCACTAGAAAAATCCATGGTGATGAGGCAAATGCAAGGCTGGAATGATCAATGCACTGGGTCTGCACTGGTGGGGTACACAGCTGGGTTCAGGTGTGGCTGCAGTGTAGCTCAGGTGGGAGGCAGGAGCTTTGGCTTAAAAACAGCTCACCAGGAAAGGAGCAGGGAGCCTCTTCTGAGGTGTCTCAGCAGAGCAGAAGCAGTTTCTGACTTTTCTCACAAGTTTTTATCAGACCTTGAGCAACCAGCTGCACACCCTGAAGGAAAGAGAGTAGGTACCGTCTCCTCCAGACTTCAAGGGATTGAATAACAGCTCTGCACTAGACCCCAGCCTTTTTCCTGCTGCCCAGGATTTGAGAAATATGTTTTCTCTGGTGGAAATCCTGCTTTGAGGTGCCTTAGTTGCCTGATGACAGCTGTTAGCTTAAATTTGACTTGGACAGCTCTTTGTATTTCACAGGCACTCAGCTGACTCATCAATTCTCTCATCCCTACAGCAAATCCCAGAGGGTTCATCTCAGTTTGAAACTCATGATGAACTTCCTCTGCATCCTTATCCCAACCCTCATCCTATCTTTCAGGCTTCAGCACACCCCCCCTAGAATTCCAGCTTGGAAAGAGATAATTTCCATCACCTGCCCCCTAAGCTAGCAGACAAAGGAGAAGCTGCCCTGTAATCCCAATGTTTGCTGAACTGCACATCTGCCCCAAGCACAGCTCCCATGCTAGCTGCCAGGGTCAAGGAGATCCTGAGGGGAACTCTTAGCAGTATCTTACAAAGCCCAGTCATTCCCCCCTCCTGTAGAAAAAGACATGGCTTTCTCCCAGCCCAACTCACAGCTCAGGTGGCATCTCAAGCTATGTAGCAAAGTGTAGAGCCCAGGAGCTCTGTTTCTGACCCCTTCTCTCAAAATTCCTTTTTTACCCCTCAAAAGCAGAGATTGTGCCTTGGACTGATGAACTCCCGTCTTTCAGAGCAGCTTCAGCATGATTTCAGGTGATGTTTGTATTTCTCAGTATGTGTCCAGCTGACTCAATAGCTGACATATGCCAGTGTGAGTGGGGAAAAAACCCCCTGTGATTGGTAAAGCTGCCAGATGTGTAGCTTTATCTGCTGTGCTTTCAGCAGATAGCTTTAGCTTTATCTGCTGTGTGTTGTTTTCACTAATCAAAAAAGAAAATATTCTGGAAAATGAGAAAAATTTAGGAATCCTGTCAGGTCTAAAATTTTGATCTTTGTAGCCAGTTTCAGTATTTACTCAAAGCCTGTTACTGGACAAAGATGCAGACAGCTCTGTGGGATTATAATGGAGAATTTGACATGTTTCTGCATAATAAACTAGACAATGTCTTTTTAGCTCAAGTATATTTATTCATAAATATATTGGTGGTTTATTTTCTATGTTTACAGCATAACTTAGGTTGCATGAGAAAAAAAAGAACCAAACCAGTTCCTCGCTGCAAAAGTTTCCTGTGGGATGTGATGAAGTGAGATATGAAAATGCTATTAAAAAAAAATCAACCCCTTCAGCATCTACATAGTGGAGATTTAATAGTCCACACTGCAAACATATGCTGAGTGAGGTCTAAGAACCTGTTCACACTGCATTTCTAGTTTGGCTAGTGAGCAGTTATGGCACCTTCATTATGCCTTTTTACTTCCTTGCATCCTGATTTCAAAGAAGGAATAAATTAGCCTTCCTTCATTTCATAAAGCACTTCCAGAGTTACACATCTAAATCTCTAGCACTAGGAATTATGGCTATATTCCAAACAAACACATATATTTTTGAACAGATTAAAGAGCTGGTATATTGCACTATGCTCAAGCTATGAAACATGCATGATTACTGGCACACTTTATTTTCTAACAAATAAGCCCAGAGATTTTATAAATCGGACACAATTAACATGCATGAGATTAAAATGAGATATGGATTGATTATGTAAGCATGCATTAAATTAATGTATAGTGCTGAATGGCATGGGATTTTAAAAATAAACTAGAGAATCAGAGAGCAGGGAAGTGAGATAAGGAAATGTTGCTGAAATTTAAAGTTTTAAGGTTTTCTGAATATCTTTAGTACCCCCAGCATTACTGAAACTGATATTCAGCTGCCTATCCTGCACTTTTATGAAGGATGCAGGGTTTTCCACCTGCAGTTTTGTTTGAATATACAACCTAGCACAGTGCTGACTAGAGAACTGATTGTTCTTTAGGGGCTCACAAGAAATGAGCAGGGATATTTTTCTGGCTCCTGATGGTCAAAAGTCCACAGCACAAGTTATTATTTACCCAGTGAGTAACACACACCAGTGTTTTCATCTGGATGCCAACTACTAAACTTAGCCTCCTGGACTCTGATATCAGCATAGCCAGTTTTGGACTCTACAGAGCTGGAAAAAGCTGTGTTTTCTGCAGGGATGCTGGTGACAAACCTGTCTTCACAGTTTCTCTTAGTTCATCTGCAAGAGAGCTCTCACCATTATCATAAAGATGAGAGAATAAAATGCTATATGAGTCCTGTAAAGTGTTGTGATTTGAAAAAGTGTTCTGAAATGGGTGGCAGATATACAGACTTAGCTTGAAGCCCTGAAAAATTTCAGATAAGACATCTGGGCAGTCTGAGGAGGCTCAGGGTTACAGGGTTTATCACAGCAAAAGCCTGTCTGCCATTTGGTGAACCCTCACGTCATCATCCCAGGGCCAGGCCCAGAGGTCACCCCCTCAGGAGGTTCTGGGTGTGAGGATGGGCACTTGATGTGCCTTTTACAGAATCACAGAATCAATTAGGTTGGAAAAAACCTCTGAGATTATCATGGGCTATGACTGAACACCCCATGTCAACTACAACATGGCACTCAGTACCTCCTCAGTGCTGCATCCAGTCTGTCCTTAAATACCTTCAGAGACAGTAACTCTGTTGGGCAGTCCATTCCAATATCCAATTACCCTTTCTGTCAAGAAAATTCTTCTTGATGTCCAACCTAAATCTCCCCTGGTGCTGCTTAAAACTACTCTCATCTTGTCACTGATTACCTGGGACAAGAGACCGACCTCGACCTACAACTTCCTTTCAGGGAGCTCTAGAAAGTGATAAGGTTTGTATGAAAGACATTCTGTGCTGTTCTTGTGAGCCAGCAAAGGCCTCCTGAAGATAAAGGAAAGCCCTGTATCTCTCCTGAGGAAGACACCAAGGTTCTCACCATGGCGACGTAATGAAGGAAAGAAAGTTAAAAGATACGGACTCTTGCTGGCTCACAGAATGACGTGGCTCCTTGGTCACCTACTGAGAACTTTATTTCTTTCTTATAACCAATGGGCAGTGAATGTGTCTGTTAAATAAATGTAAATATCTTGAAAAAGTATAAAAGCAACATGTTGCTATAATAAATCTCTCTTGCACCCTTCTGATGGAGTCGTGGTACTTTGTGCTGTGTCGCGCTCGATAGCGACAAGGTTCCCCATGAGCTTCCTTTTTTTTTAGGCGAACCACCCCCACTTCCCTCAGCTGCTTCTCGTAGGACTTGTGCTCCAGACCCTCCACCAGCCTTGACGCGTCTCCAAAGCAATGCGTGAAAAGACAACGTTCAGATGATCCCTGCTCCATCCGAACGATAGCGACATGTAGTTCCTTGGACCTCCAGAAAACTCTGTCGCAGTTCGGCCGGGTGACGTTTCTCACGGATGATTCTGCACCCTGCTGGCTTCCCTCGGGAGGAGGAGGAAAAGCACCCCCGCTCGGTCAGGCCCTGCCCGCAGCCCGGCCTCGGCGGGCACCGCCGGCCTCCCCGGCCCCATGGGCGGGCGCGGGGGCGGCCCCTTCCCGCCCGGCCTCCTCCGGCCCCGCCGCTTCCCCCGCAGCTCCGGGCCCGGCTCTGCCATGGGCGCCGCTCGCTGCTCCCGGCTGCTGCCGCCGCTGTGGCTGCTGCTGCTCCTGGCGCCGTGGGGGCCGCGTGTGTCGGGGGAGCCCCGCTCGGCGCGGCGGCGCTGGCCGGTGCCCTACAGGTGAGTGCCGCCCCCGGGCCTCGGCCGCGCCGCGCTGCTCCTGCTTCTCTGCGCCTTAGACTGAGAGGCCGTGCGAAGCTTCCCCTTTCTGAACTCGGGATGGTGGTCACTGACACGGTGTTTGGCGTGTTCGGCTTGCCGTGGTGCCGTGCCAGGCCAAGAGCTGCGCTTGGTCTCTGCAGCGGGAGGGATTGGCTCCCCGGGAATGACTGCCCGCTTTAAACACGCTCCTTAATGCCCACAGGAAAGGTGGTGGTGAGGAAATCGGGGTACGGGTTTGTTTTTTTCTTTTTAAATTTAACTTAACGTCATGCTTCGTGACAAGTGAAACGGTACAAAATCGCTGCTCCAGAGCTGCCTGACCTCCAGAATTCCTGGTGGTGTTGGGCCACAACTGCGCGTTGTGTTGTGAAAACAGCGATTTGGCCGTGCCGAGGAAATGAGCCTCTTCAGAAGAAGCATTACGCTTAATTGTGTATTTTGTGCGGGTTTGCTGTTTGTAAAGGGAGTAGTTAGCAATGTTTGACTGCAGCTTAATAATGCACACCTGAAATTTTGAGAGCTTGTTGTGCAATTCCCAGCAGTTAAATTTGTGTCAGGTGATGCCTGAAGGAGCTGGTCTTGCAGTCATGAGTTGTTGGGATTTTCCAGCAAGTTCAGGAATTACAAGACTGGGCCTTGGGATGGTCAGATTTGGAGAACAATCCTGTTGGTGTGAGATGCTCAGAAATGTGGGGTTTCAGTGTTTCTTAACATGCTCTTTACCTTCTTGTCACATGCAGTGCAAGGGGTAATTGAAAATGTAAGGTGTGCAAGCTAGAAATAGGACTTGAATGTGTGGTTGGCCTAAGTTTTTGTTTTCTATATGTTTTTTTCAGACATACTTGTTAGGATTGTTTTTCCCTTCTTTTTCTTTTCTTCCCCCCCGCCCCGGCTAACCAGACAAGATCTGGACAAGCTGTGCATGTTACAGTGGGTTGATCCTGGCTGGATGCCAAGTGCCCACCAAAGTCACTCCCTCCTTCCCAGGTTCTGCCTCCTCCTCCTCGTGCTGCAGGGAGATGGGGAATGGGGGTCAGGCTCATTTCATCAGATGCTGTTCCTGCAGGGAGAGGAGTCCTTCCCGTACTCCAGCGTGGGGTCCCCTCCACAGGAGACAGTTTTCCATTAAGTTCTCCAACCTGAGTCCATCCCACAGGCAACAGTTCTTCGTTAACTGCTCCAGCATGGGTCACTCTTCCATGCAATCCTTCAGGCACAGTCTGTTCCAACAGGGGTCCCCCAGAAGGTCACAAGTCCTACCAGGAAGCCTGCTCCAGCATGGGCTCATCTCTCCATAGGTCTGCAGCCTGCTCTGTGGGGTCAAAGTGTCCTTTTAAGGGATCCACGTGCCCTAATATGGGCTTGTTCCACAGGCTGCAGGGGAATCTCAGCTCCAGCTCTTGGAGCAGCTCCTGCTCCTCCTTCTTCACTGGCCGTGGTGTCTTCAGGGCTGTGCCTCATACATATTCTAACCCCGCTCTTCTCTGGCCACAATTACATTGGTGCAGTAACTTTTTTTTACTTCTAAAATCTGTTATCACAAAGGTGTTGCTATCATTCCTTAATTTCTCAGCCCAGTCCAGTGCAGGGTCCATCCTGGAGCTGACTGGCATTGGCTTTGCCTGACAAGGGGCAACCTTCTGGCAGCTTCTCACAGAAGCCACCCCTGTAGCCACCCTGCTACCAAAACCTGGCCACACACTCCCCCTACACTTGTCAAAAAGGTTCTTTGCTGTTTGACTATAGTGTGATAAGGAAGTGAATTGGGTCTTTGGTTTTTGAGGTTTGATAGGAATGAAATAGAAACAACGATTCCAACAATGTTCTTAGACCTCTTTATCTAAATTAGCATAGAGGGATTAATTATTTTTCTGGACTTTGCAATATTGTAGAGTCAAAATAGCTGTTCTGGGGACCTCTTACTATAGAATAGCAAGAGCAAATTGGTCAATCCCCATGTAAATAAATTGCCAGGAGAATGTTTTTGAGGCAGATCTCAAACTATGCATTACTCAGCATCTGTGTATCTCTAATCTGGTGAGTATGTCACCCTTTGTAATCCACATTATTTCCACTCCTTCACGATCAGTACAATATGACTTCCATTTGTGAGCGTTAAGTCCTGAAGTCCTGTTTCTGCAGATGTGCACCCCAGCAGCCCTATGAACTTGTGTACTCCAATTGTTGCAGAGTCTGGGTCACAGAATATGTCTTGAGGGGTGCTGGACATGTAAGCTGTCCCCCTTAGGAAGCCATGACAGGTACTCCAGCTGTGTTTGTCATTCTGTGTGCTTCTCTTTCTCAACACAGGCGCTTTGATTTCCGTCCCAAAACCGATCCTTACTGCCAAGCTCGCTACACCTTCTGTCCCACTGGCTCTGCCATCCCGCTTATGAAAGAAGAGGATGTCATTGAAGTTTATCGACTACAGGCTCCAGTATGGGAATTCAAGTACGGGGACCTGCTAGGACATTTGGTAAGGTGACTTTTTAACAAAGTTAGAATGACAAATTCAGCTGAATTTAACAGGAGCTGCTAAGAGTGGGAGCTGTAAGGTTGGGATAGGCTTGTATGGAAGAATATTAGAGCACACAATTAGAGCTGGGCTATCTGTAGGGCGGATACTCAAAGATCACTGAGTTTCAAACAAAATGTACAGGATTCAGCTCAGCTAAAGACAAGAGCATGACCAGCATCGTTGGTGGGTTTGAACACATTCCCCCTGTAGCTGCATAATGAGTGCTTTGTATGCACCCCATTATGTCTTGGATTATTCTTGGATTATGTCTTTTCTTCTGTGCTATCACCACATCAAGAAAATACCTTTATTCATCCCCTTATATCAGGTAAAATAGTTGCTTAGTGTTTTAATTTTTCTCTTGTTAAAGTCTCACATATTTGCTTGGACATTGGTATCTGTCAGGAGCAGACAGCCAACAGTCAGAATGGTGGATCATGAGAAGTTGGTTGCTTTTACAGTTCTTTCTTGAGTGTTATGATGAGTATGGGATTGAAGTCTCCATTCATGGAATCATGCAAACATGAAGTCTCAGCTTTAGTAATATTTATAGTTATAGCAGTAGCAAAATTAATCTTCAAAGCATGATTCCTAAATAGTAAAGAAATGCTAGTGCATCAAAACCAAGCACAAAGAGTTAGACATGGGAATAGATTCAAATACTGTTATCTCAATTGTTAACTAAGTTTGGATTTATGTTTTTCTGTGCAGCTTTTAAATGAAGTATTTATATCATAGTTTTATGGCATTTATTAGAAAGAACTGGTTTTGGTAACTTGGTTCTGCTCTTTATTTTTCTGATACCCCCATGAAGTTAAGGATTCAAAAGACAGCTTGAGTCTTGATGATGAGCTCCCACTGAGTATCTTCTTCCAAATGACAGAATTTACAATGGATGGATAGACAACCACTGAGACAGCATGATGCTCTGAATAGTAGTGTGTGTGTGTCATGCAATCTGGTGTATTGTGCTTCAGTGTTACAGAATTCAAGATGTTATAGGAACTCCCTCTTCTCACCCTGTTACAGAACAGCTCCTGAGCATCTTACCTTCTGTATAGGTCAAGCTGAAGTTGTTATGAAATCAATGTTTTGGTTGTTTGGTTCTTTGTTTTTTTTTTATTTTCCAGAAAATTATGCATGATGCTGTGGGTTTCAAGAGCTCTCTAACAGGCAAAAACTACACTATGGAGTGGTATGAGCTCTTCCAACTTGGGAACTGCACATTTCCACACCTGCGGCCTGGCATGGATGCACCATTCTGGTGTAACCAGGGAGCTGCCTGCTTTTATGAAGGAATAGATGATGCACACTGGAAGGCAAATGGAACTTTGGTTCTTGTGACCACAATATCAGGTACATTTTAGAGGCTTTGGATAATGTTAATACAAAATATAGAGTCAGCCTTGTCTTCTGTAAAGCAGTATCTTTTAATTTATGTTCTGTAGGTTATTTGCAGCATTAGTCAATGATGCTGATTTCAGACACTCTGTTGAATACAGAAAGTAGCATGAGGCTGATGCCTTTTGAACAATTCACACTGGAGAGTTGTTAAGTGAGAGTCATTTGGTGTTGCTGTACAAAAACACTTGAGTCTCTTGAGTGTAAAAATAGCAAAACAGCTTAAACAGAGTCATTATGGGCTCTTTTCAGATGGCTTCACCAAAACAAAATCTTCTATTGTGAAGTGGCAGATGACTGCTGAGATGGAAAAACTGTTGAAAACATGTTCATTATTGAGCAAACAAATAAGGCATATTTAGAAACAATCTCAAAGATATAAAAATATTAATCTCTATTTCTGTACCCTTCATTATGTGTCCTAAAAACTGTGAAAATGTCCCCAGTAATAGGTCTCTGTCATATGTTGTAGAACAAACCTAGGCCTTACACTTCAAAATACATAGGTGATCACCAGAAGAGTTTCCTGCTGTATACTGATCACTGCAATCCTAAAATAAAAAGGTCATTCACATAAATCTGATTGATTGCTCTAGCAATAGAGTGAATGACTTACAAACAAAGTTCACTGAGGACTTGGAGAGTTACTTTTTGAGTGATGAAAACTGCTTAGTTTCTGAAGTTGGTGCAGTGTGAAAGACACAGTGGAGAGTCAGCTTACAGCTTTGTGTGTGCCCACTTCCACCCTTAGCAGCTTTGCTGGCCTCAGTCTCCGCATCATCTCTCCAGTGCTGCTAAGACATCGTAGGCAGTTCTTTAAACAAGGAAGTAAAGTGGAGCTGCTTTCCTATGAGTTTGTAGTTTGTGACTGAAGTATTTGATGTCTGATACAGTTGGATTCTTTTGTATGAATACCAAATTAAAATTTTTCAAACAGCTAGGAAACTTGTCATGTTTCCTCTCTCTGTGGATTATTGGATGCCCAAGAAAGGGGAGGCTATACTGGTACCTCATGGAGGCATAGTTACAGTTCCTCACCTTTCTTGCTTTCCATTTCCATGAAACTTTCAAGGAAGTAGCATTTCTGAGAGCTTTCAGTTGTCTGAATTTCACAATAACTGTCAGATTTCTAGTCAAAGAGGGTGAGTGGATGCAAGCACAGATGAACAGCATCATAAGCTGAACTTGCTCCCTTCAGAGAGCTGGCAAAAAGTATCCCATCTTAGTGGTCTTACATCCCACCCATAATTTGGCTCAATTCAGCTTTTCCAGCTGTGCTAAATCAGCATGGTGTCTCAGTTTGCATCTCTTTTGTGAAGAAACATGAAAATTTCTGCTCTGAATTTTTGAATTTAGTTAAAACTTGAAGTGCAGAAATGTCTATTGTTCTGGTGAGCATTTTTCCAGCATCTCTTGTAGACTGTACTACCTCTGTCCTGTTTGTCTGCATGGATAATGCAAAATGAGAAGTGTCATGTTCTCTGGTGTTAGAATGTTCTGGCATAGTTGCAGGAAAAGTATCAGGAAAAGGAATTACAGTTTAAATAATCTGCATGTAAGTGTAGTTTATTTAGTGGGTTTTCCCTTGCCCCTCTGACCTAAACCTTGTGTCTCTGTATGGTGAGGTAGTGTAGGTAAACTTTTGCAGTGGAGGCAGGTGAACCTTTAAACAGATGGAAAATATTTTGAATTCTGCATTTGTTACCTGATGTCTGCAATACTTACTTTCATCTCTTACAGGAACCATGTTTAATGAAATGGCACAATGGGTAAAATACGACAATGAGACTGGCATTTACTACGAGACCTGGACAGTTCAAGCAAGTCCTGACAAAAACTCAACAGTGTGGTTTGACTCTTATGAGTGCTCCAAGTTTATACTGAGAACCTACCAGAAACTAGCTGACTTAGGAGCTGTATTTAGGAAGATACAAACAAACTACACAAGCATAATTTTATTCAGTGGAGAACCTATTTATTTGGGGAATGAAACATCTATTTTTGGACCACAAGGAAACAAGACACTGGCAGCAGCTATAAGAGACTTTTACAATCCATTTAAACCTCATCAGAGTGTCAGAGAGTTTTTTGTGGATCTTTTCAAAATAATTGATCGTGTTATCTTGAATCATCAGTTTTACCTCTTCTACAACTTGGAATACTGGTTTTTACCTATGAAGTCTCCTTATCTCAAAATAATTTATGAAGAGGTCCCTTTGCCTGTTGGAAGCAAAGCATCCTCTGGTATATGATGGTCTACTGAAGAACAAAACTTGCCTTTATGGCAAAAAATTCTTAAGGATTTTGGAGCGCTACCATGATGATGTGAAAGGGTTGTCTGTTTCACTGCCGACTGTAAAAGTTGTGTTGGGAAAGCTTTGCTGTACGAAGTGAAAGACTCAGCATTTTTTTTCTTACTACCTGTATAACACATTCATGAGTGCTTCAGCATCTCTGACCTGGCCAGCTTCTGTGTAAGCATGGCCCCTGCTGCCTGAGGGGAGACTGCAGTGGCTCCTCTGGCTGAGCTCTGCAGTGCCAGAGGGGGAATGGGGAGGCAGCTGCCTGCTCTTGGCTCGGGGACTCTTTGCATGCATGGCCACGTGGCAGCAGATGGCATCTGGCCACCAGCAGAGGTGGGACACAAGTTACAAGGACTAACTCGCTCAACATGAGCGTCTGGATGTGTCCAGTTCCTTCAACATGTGCCTTACACTGCTGTTCCTGTAGTTCTCTGGTTTGGAGAGCTGGGGCCTATGAACTATTCTCTGGTATTCTGGGGCAGTGAATGTACTGGAGGATGGCATGGGTGATGCTTTTTCACCACTTTGCTTCCTTCAGCTGCACTGTAAACACCATACAGATGGCTCTTCTTCAGTTTCATGTGTGTTCTGTGACACAGATAAAAGCCAAACTGCCTGCCTTGATGTTGACTCATGCATAATTGCAGTGTTCTACCAGTCTACTATCTTGAAGTCTATTTGAGGCTTCAGTTGGGTCAGTTTTGTAGAACTTGTATATATTCCTTTCATTTTTTTTTAAAAGCATAGAAATCTTAATATGAAAGAGGTAATGACAGCTTGTGGGGCATCAACATTGGAGGTAAAAATCCATGCTTGTCACAGAGCTGCCTCTAAAATGTGACTGCAGCCTCTTGCTGGCAGTGATGTTTGCAGTAGTGGTGCTGTGCCAGCTCTGCTGTCCTTGAGTCCTGTTCCAGGCTCAGCTTAGAGGCATCTACTTAGTTCCCTTTAAACCCAAGGAACCAAAGTGAGAGGAACACTGGCTTTCTGCAAACTACTGAGGTGCCTGCACACTGAAAAACCACAACTGCAGCAATGTAATCATCTCCAAGTGTTCACTGCTCACTTAGATGGTTTTTTTTAAACTAACTGTGGGATGAATTGTGCTCCTGCAGAAGTTATTGCTGCCTTGTGGCCAAACAGGAACACAGGAACAGAAGGCTGGAGTTTCATTTGGCTTGAGCCAAGCTAATACCCTGCTGCAGCCAGAGAGGAGAGTACACAGTGCTTGGATTCAAATAATAAGAATGGCAGAAAATTACCCTTGTATTCAGAAGGTCGCTACAATTAATTAGTTGAATTGCATTATCATGTAATGGGATGAGCATGAGAGGTAATGGGAGAAGAATGACAGGATGAGCACACCTCTCTTCAAGCTGCTACTTCCACTGGTAGGTGAAACTTCATCTTTTACCACAGACTGAAAGACTTGAGTCTTTTTAGCCAAAGTCACAGGCCCTTGTGACTGAGCTCAGCTTTAGATTAAGACACTGTCATGGTTTCACCCCAGCCAGCAATCAAGCACCACCCAGCACCACCAGGAAGGTAGTCCAGGAGGCTCTAGGGAAGTCAAAGGGGCTGCAGCAAGCCCATCTACAGCAGTTACATTCTAATTGATGCATGGTTTTATGTCTCTGAAACCCTCAGTGTTGTTAAACCCACTTTTGTCTTCCCAGGAAAAAGCCTCAACATCACAAACCACTGTTCAAAGCTCTGCAGGGGAAATAGGATCACAGAACCAAGCTTCTACATCACACTGGCAGTGATGTGGGGATTGCTCCATGCCACTCACATGTCTGTTTCACACTTTGAACACTATCCTCACTTTAAAGGTACTAATTGCCAATGCAGGAGCTGCCCTTTATATAACATACATGAGTTCCTTCTGAGGCCAGTATTTATGAGAGAGCTCTCACTTTCTTTGCTTCTCTCAGCTGGGGGGGTTTGTGTTAACAATTAACTGTTCAGACTCAATGCGCAGCTGGCTGGGAATAAACTCCACCAGTACAAACTGCAGTCCTGAAGGAGGTGCTGTTGTTGCAGTTAAACTGGAATGACTGCACTGGAATGCAGTTGAAGTTGTTGAGTGCAGTGCTCTCTTGTAGGTAGAATCCACACTCCTTGAGTTCAGCCTACAGAGTTAGATCCAAAAAAACTAGAGAGGTGATAAATAGGCTAATTCTGCAAAGTTTAGACAAGCCCAGAATAGATCCATAAAAATTGACACTTTTAAAACTTAAAAAGGAAGCATTAGGTGTCACAGCTTCTGTGCACCTGATGATCTGCTTGTGATGGAAAACCACCTATTCACCTCAAACACTTAAGGATGGCCTCCTCCTGAAAGTCACACAGGGAGCAATAGGTAGGATCTCACCTATTTCACTCACAGGCAGGTGGTATTAGCACTTGCCCAACAGGAGGAACCAGGGCACTGTCCAGACTGCCAGGCTCAAGGATAAGCCTGGCATTGTGTCACTGTCACCCTGTCTTTACTCACACTTTGAATACAGGACTTGTTCATCACTTCAGACTGTGCTTGGTCCTGCTCCCTGCTCTGATGCACATTGCACTTGAGGGCAAAAATATACAATCATTCTGTAGTACAATGATTTCCAAGTCTGCACACTGGTCTTGTGTAAAACTGCTGCATTGCCACACCTGTGGGCTGCTCGGGGTTGTAAGCCACACTTCATTCCAGGAGGGTTCTCCAGCAAAGCAGATCCTGGCTCATCATCCATCAGGTCAAACGGAGTGTGCTGCTCCTGTTTCTCAAAGCACTGTGCAATGGAAGTCACTGGTACCAATGTTCTCTGCCTTCCCCCTCACAAACCCACCCCCAGATGTCCTGGATTAGGAGAGCTGCTGCCTTCAATATCTTAACTTGTAACCACTTGGATTTAGAGGTAAGATCTGTCACTGCACACATTAACTCCTACCCAAAACTGGACAACCAAGCCACCACCTGAGTTTTGTTATTCTGATAGTAAGAAATAAAGGTGAGCTTGGGAAAAATGATACACCTCTGCCACTCATGTTCCTGTTTCTGGTGAACTTTGTGAGTCTGTGGTACTTGTGCCATGATTTTTATCTATTTGAATTGTTTCAACATCTAGAAGGCAAAAGAAGACATACTGAATTTGCTCAAAAAGCATTGTAGGCTTGCCTGGCAAGTTTATGTCATAGCTTGAATGAAGGATGCAGTAACTGATTCAATGTATAAAAACTGCTGACCTCCCATGGAAGAGGGAGACAACTGCTTTTAAGCAGTTTTCTTTTGCTGAACATCCTAATAACCAGTATAATATGGTGTTGCCTTCAGGAAGGACTTTTTGAAGTCAGTGCAACAACACAGGCTTCTCAGAGCCAGCCAGGTACCTTGCTGGGGAAGCAGTTTTGCTACAGCCAACCCTGCCACCTTCAGCTCCTAATACATTCCTCACACCAGGGTCTGACAGAGGCCTCTCTGTGAGCAGCAGAATCCTGGGTTTCCAAGGTGTGACTTCAGGAGTGGGATCTCGTACTGAGGTTGTGCCTCGCCTTTCAGTTATTCCCATTACCAACATGTTGGCAACTTACCATGCAGCATCAGGACACCTGCAGTCAAAGAGCTTTTGGCTCCATTACTAATTAGTATTAGTTCACATTAATTTAGTGAAAACTAAATCCTGTCCCCAGACTACAAGTGATACTCCACCTTTCTCATACAGGCAGTTCTGAGAGTCAGGTTATAAAAGACACAGAGCTTTTTTACTTTTACGGACTAAATATATTGACACCTTTTGTACAAATAAAAGCAAATTATAGTATTACATTAATTTAACAAATTCTAATACAAAAACCGGAGTTATTTCATAAAATGCAATTTTAAAATCAAAGCTCTACAGAAACATACAACTCCCCTATAAAGATGTCCAGTCCGCTGAGCAGTTTGCTCAAAATATAGTTATGAACTTAAATACACTCATAAGTGTATTACACTAAATTATACATTCGGATAAACATGACTGAAATCAGAGATGAAGGAAATCTACTTACGACAGAAGGAGCTGTACAGCTCAAGTGAGAAGCAGCCACCAGCTAAGCTCAACCCAGCCCGTGGGGGCAGCTCTGCCTTGGTGAGGGCTGACCACATCTCTCAAACATGCAGCTCTCCGGGCAACACTTCAGTGTTACCATCAGCAACCTCAAAGAGAAAATAACTGTTGGCAGTAAGAAATGAAGTCACAAGCCATGTCCAGATCACAGGCAGTGTCTTGCCTACACCACTTACAAACTAAAAACTTTCTTTAATAAAACTGATTTATAAAATGTTCGAAACAAATTTTTGCCTATTGCTCTACTTCACCAAGTCTACTCCTTTTGAATTGTTAAATATTATGAAATTACAGAACTAGCTGAATTAAAGGAATACAAAAATTGTCATCTATTAAACATCCACTTTATACATAAACATTTCTGAAACAGATTTACAGTATACAGTTAGTTTATACAGCTTAAGCAACTGTTCCAATGTCATTTCTGTCAAACTGAAAGCAGCCAAAAGGTCTAAGGTTTTGTGAAAAGGTTCTTGGTCAACATTCAAATTTTACCTTTCTCGCACTGCTCACACCCACATCATCAGAATAACATTGCTGGGTTCATTTCACAAACCATACATTATTCCATCTCACCGTATGCTGCCAAACCGGGTAATGTGCAAGAAAAGCTCATTAACTCCAGTGTGGTTTTAAATACAATGTATCTACATTTTTCCCCAGAATGCTTTCGCTTCCTGAGCTAGACATAAAATACCTTAAAACAGGTTTAGACGCAGATCTGAGACCCCATAAGCAAACTACATTAAAATGCATAGAGCGTGGAAAAAACCCCACACCACTTTTGGTAGCTCAAACTACTGGCTGTTAGCGCTCTAAATACATTTTAGATGGATCTAATAATCTGTTGAATAAGGTGGTAAACTTACTACTTTAGTTGTCTAAATTTATTATTGTATATTGCTCTTGCCTTTATGACTTAACAGAATGTGTGTATTTCACAGGCTACTAGACACTCCTCATAATCGTCATCTTGTCATCGAGGTGACTGGATTTAGAAATGCTACAGTCTGCAACAAAAGCATGCAATTTTGGTGGGGTTTCACTTGGCTTTTTAAGATCAAATATGATTGTGTCCAATACTACTAATCTAAATCAAAGAAAAACACCATATTAAAACTGGTATTTTGCAAGTGCATTTCAATATTTTAAATAATTTTTATTTCCAAAAATATTTAAAGTCACCTTTAATGACAAAGACTAAATATAAAACAGAAACCTGAATTTTGTTTGGATGAAAACAGGTTTTGGAGCTGTGAACTCTTCTGGTTCTCAAGTTCCAAAATATTTTTGAAAGAAAAATTAATTTTCTAATCAAACCATTAATTAACTTGCAACAGAATCTATATTATTAAATAAGCTTATACAGGAAATTGCAATATGGTAAGCTTGGGTTTAAGGTGCTACTCCATTCGCCTTGGAGTCTTTTAAGGACTTTACCAAGTGGGCATCATGTCTGGGAACCAGACTCTACCAAGATGCTTTGAAACCTCCCAATGAATCTGCTCTAAGCTGTATTTCTGATCAGGA